GATATGGCGGTCTCATGGAGGAGGGCCACAACTACACATTTGAGGAGGGTGGCGATGTCCCGCAGCCGTACTTCAACGTTCTTTGGTCAACTCAAGAAATCAGCTTCGATGTAAGACCAAGCACTTCACTTATTGGTACGAAGCTCTAACACTGCACCTCTAGTATGTCGCTCGCGACTGGAACGAGACAGACTGGGCCTACCCAGCAGTCCCTGGGCAGGCCAAATACTTCGGTTCCTTCATCACAGTCCCCCAGGGGCTTTCGGACTCTATCACCTCTTTCCCTCTAAGGAACTACCCGCGGAACGGTGGCGGTGTCTATGCTCCTCCACAGAATGTTTTCGCCCATGGGGGTGATATCCCAGCTGGCGAGTACCGCATTCTCTGCCGCGCACTCCGTACCTTCGGTGATCCCAACAACCTCAATGACTGGCAGTACAAAGTCTCACCCTGGTTCCGCATCACTAGGGAGAAGCCTCCGGTAACTGCAACTCCCACGACGGCGGAGGCTACTCCAGCCCCAACGACATCTTCCGTTAGCTTGCCGGAGCCATGCGCCGCGACTTCGACACCAGTCAGCATCGAAGCAACCCTTGCTTCCGGCGAAGGTCCTTACAACCTGTATCTCTACGCTGACTTTGCTTCGATCGACCTGAGCGGATCTCAAACCCCGTTGAACTTCTCCATCACCAACGGTACTCAGGTTCAGACCTGGTTCAACTCCTCTTGGAGGTTCCTCTCTGTGCATATCAACACCAACAGCTTGATCTACGTGTACGCGTCGAGCCGTGTGACTGGCGCCTTTTCTTTCCTCGGATGCACAGCGACAGATGGTGTTTTGGGGTGCGAATCCAACGGCAAGTCTGCGCTTTATGTTTGCGATAGCACGACTGGACTCCTGCGTCACGGAACTCAGCCTCTGGATGGGTGCCAGACTGTCACTCTCAAAGTTGGGCCTAAAGAAAATCCGAACTGCGTAGCTACGACGACTTCTGTCACTGCTACGGAAATAACAGCGGCGCCTACTACTTTCTCGACTGCAATTGTCTCGGTCTCGTCGTCTTAGCTTGAATCTGCGGGAACTTTCGGATGTGATCCTGGGTAGTTGCTAACCAGAGTGGTACCACCGATCCAGTAAATACTGTCATTCAACTCTGTACATAGTATTTTACCTTATGTGATGTAGCTACAAACGCCATCGGCACATTAAATCCGATGCACAAATTTCCCTCAAAACCTAGATGTTGCCTTGCGCCAACGAGATGCTCTTCGCTATTTGCGCGTATATTTGCTCCTTAAACTACATACATGATGAACTCATTGCACCAGAAAGTTTCCATATCTCAAATGGTAAAGATTCCATTCTCAACTCCAGTCATAAAACATTTGTGATTCATCCCTTAGTTGGGGTAGTCCTTCAGCAAAATTCCGTATCCCTCAAGCAATGATGGGCCACCGGCAACAACCGTGATCTGGTCATTGGTTCCGACAACAACACCATAGAGGTACCGATCTCCGTTCTCGTTGATCCAGAAAGGACCTCCAGACTGTCCGCCTTGAGCATCGGCATCAGTCACAACAGGAGAACCTCGGTCACACAAAGTCGCGGAAGAAGCTGTAATAGCCTCTTGACGGTAAGGCTGTTGTCCGCCCTTGTCGCCAGGGTATCCGTAGTGGAAGAACATGGCGCGATTAAGCTGTGTGTCAGGGTTCACCGTCTTCAACCCAAGCCAGCCGTTGGTGGACCCAGCCTTCTCGCCGAGGACGAAGATGGCCCAGTCGTAGGCGTTAGCGCACCAGCCTTCCTGGCCGTAGTCGGGTCGGAAGACGCGGATCACGTCGTAGCCACCCAGGGCCTCGCCGTTGTCGTAGGCAGGCTGGAAGCGGGCTGTTGCGCCATTCTCTGGGATGCAGTGGCGCGCGGTGACAACGTGGCGGGAACCAATCAAGGCACCGCTGCAGATCGCACCGTTTGAAAGTGCGATTCTGCCCATGGCACGATAAGGGTAGTCCTTGTTGGTCCAGAGGACGCGGTTGTCGACACCTCCGATGATACCGCGCTTGGAGGGTTGAGAAGATCCGGGATTTGAGGGGGGGAAGTCCGTGAAGTTCGCATCCTGGCCGGTAAGGCTAAGAGTGATGACCTCGGGGGCAACTCCTGCGACCTTGCGCTCCTTTAGCGAGGAGACAATCGTAGGGTCGAAGCCGATGGGCTTGATCAAAGTTGATGGATCTGGCAGGTTGGCACCTTCCACCGTGGGAGCAGCAAAGGCGCACGATCCAAACGATAGAGCCGCTGTGGCTGCAAAAGGAACAAAGCGAACCATTGTGATATGAGGTCTTGAGAGAAACCGGTTAATAGTGATCGGGTTGTGGGACTGGAATGAGCTGATTCTGGACTCAATGATGTCTGCGAGCAAGACAGACTTTATACTCCTGTATGGTAAGCTAAACACCAACTTCTCATCACATCAATACTGCATTTGAAATTGTATCGACCCGGCCATGGCCCAAAGCTGGGGATATTTACTAGAATCATTGCTGCCTGGGAATGCATGCTACGTTGACTTGGACCCCATCAACCAAGCTCTATCCGATGTTGCTACGCAGTCAGACTGAGCTGGGGTAAGTTGGCCCCCATCGTCGGATTGAAAAGCGAGCATAAGCGCCTGGAACATTCGTTCGGAAATTGAGGAATGGGTAAGATCCTAAGTCTACGCTGTGAGTGCGAGCGGCTATTCAGACTTCTGCCCTGTCGATCCGACTGCAGGGTTCACAACCATCAGCCGACGACCAGAGACCTTTGCAAAGGACCGCTTGGCGCATCCAAAGGAAGATGAGAGATGGCACGGTTTTCAGGGGATGTTTAGACAGTCTTGCAACGCTGATAGGTGAGATCGCGTTGATCCCTGTCTGTTTTTTTAGGTTGCGAGATTGAGCTGAGGCGGATGCTACCCGCCACGGAAGCAGTCAGACGAACTCCACAGAATCCTCCAGGGCCATGTTAAGTTGAAGCCTATTCAAGGATGCGGGTTGTGGAAACAGCACAACCGGATGAACGGTAGAGTGCATTTACGTTTGTCGGCATCGTTCCAGTATTGCTCACTACCGCACTTTCGCAGAATATCGATCTTCACTATCCCACTAAAGGCTTCAACTTGGTCGCTAACCGCAAAAAACCTTGGATCTTCAGTCATTTCAGCTCTCCAAGCACTCGAACTCGATTGGAGATCCAAGGCAACATTCGCCGTTGACAACTCTAAGCACATGAGATGATGCGCATTTGAGTTTCCGGTTAGTGAGACGAGAATGCAGCTTGATGAACTTTACGTTTTCCGTGGTTGTCAGCCTGACCTCTGGGTAGTGATTCCTCGGGGTGCAGCTGTGCAAATAAGCAGAGCGTAACATCGACTAAAGGGAATTGAGTGCCAAGCTTCACCAAAAGCATTCATCAGCCACGGTAGAATCAATCGAATCACGCAACATTCTATATTCCTCATTCCCATGCGGAGTATTTCTCTGTGCCTCAGTCGTCAAAAGTTGGTGTGGCTGTGTGCAGCCCAAAAATACACTGGCAACCTTGGACAATTTGTAAGTTACCTTCTGTGGGTCCGATGCAGGTGAGCCTCCTTCATGGGCAGGGTAACTTCGCTCAAAGTGTCTACCACTCAACTCCTCAAGATGTTCTAGCTCATGGCAAAGGCAAATAGCCGACATGGCTGTGGGGCCGGATTGTTCATTGCTTACTTTCAATTAAGAAGAGTCATGTGCAACTCTTCTAGAGCCTATTGTCTATGAAGCACTGAAGCATAGGACATTGGGATTATTGTCCACTTAGGGTAGACCGCAGAGCTAGTTTACAATTGGAGGCACTCAATGACAAACATGGGGCCTTTGGCCGCAACCTCCGGTCCAGAGTTTCGGCCCGAACAACATTAGAGTAACCACTACTGGTGATAAAAGTGATAGATCGTGTAATACACTCTGCTCTCAAGATCTGTACTCGGCGGAAACCAGTAAAGTAAACGTCATACAATCAACGGTCGCCACAGATGATAATATACGGTGGACAGTGGATCCCGAAAACTCGGCTGCAACACTCGCACAGGACTCGATCTCGGATCTGTCGTCCAGAGAAATCAGACGGAGCAGCTTCACAGACTCCTCGGTATCATGTCGCCAACCTTCCACCTACCCATCCAGGCACCGTCTGGGGGCAAAACAAGGTCCGTCGTGTAGCCGCGCAATCGAGCTCTATGGCACACCCCAGATTGCGAAGTTTGCGCGCGGGTGGAAAGAGCCATTCTACGTGACTACGTAATGTGTAGCGGCGTCACAGACCCAATGAATGTATTTTCCAAATTTGAGACGGTCGAGCGATGGTGGTAGGAGGCACGACACGCCGCCGTGTTGGAAGGTTTGTGGCGATGTGCTGTAATGTCTCAAATGTTGTCAGGTTCGGTGGCCAATCAACGGTCAACCGCCCCAACTGCATTTCGGGTCCGGCGTCTTCAGAAATGTCATCAGGTGAAAGATTAGAAGACGGGGATCATAAAGATTGCATTTTTCGAGCAAAATGCAAAAGAATTGGGCCCTAACCAGGATTCGAACCTGGGACCTCTCCCAGACGTGTCGTGAAGACCCTAAGGGAGAATCATACCGCTAGACCATCAGGGCGATGGAGCAGATTTTGGATCTGATTCGTGACTGCTCGGATCGACTTGGGGCTCATAGATCCCTAGACCACCCCAAAGAGATGAGTTTCCGCTACATCTGTGACAGTAAGACCTTGACTTGGTCAATAGGAGCTTGCGTGACGATCATAGCAGACGCCAATTCTTAGTTGACTAAGATGTGTGAGATTTTGCATCGACAGAGACACGTCGGTCATCACATCAATCATCTTTAGGGCCATATGACATCTCCCTAGGTGTAAGTATCATTCATTCTCTAAAGAGGTTGTTCAGGACATTCGGTCTCAGGAACTTCAACCCTATGTATTACAAGGTGTACTGGAAGTCTGGCCTCTTGTCTCCGAGCGCCTCGATCTCCTTTTCAGACTTATTCTCCACCCAGTGATCTCTCTTCCCCTGCCTCCTCTTCTTGTTCTCGATCCTGAGCAACGTCGTCATGAGAGCGCTGCCGCCGCACAGGAAAATGGACATGTACGCCAACACAACGCCATGGCCCTCTGGAAACCGCGGCCCATGGAAGTAAATGTTAGAGCTGACGATGCCATTCAGGTTTCCCCACCCAATCACGAATCCTAGCACCACACCGCGCTTGTAGACGCCCTCATTGTTGTTGGCGACCCAGGTGATGGTGTTGGCGATGCATGGGTAGATGCCGAGAGCTCCGAGAAAGGTGCCTGCGTATTTGACTTGGGCGCTCTCGGTAGCGATGAGCATGCAGAAGCCCACTATGCCGATGAGACTGACTCCAATGTTACATAGACCACGCTGTTTCGTCCTGTCCGCCACATATCCGATAAAGATGGTGAAAATCGCCGCCGCAGCATAAGGCGGGACCGTCATCAGCTGCGATCGTACGATACTGGTATTCCACCCAAGTTCGTTGACAATGGTAGGCAAGAACAGACTAAAGGCGTAAAGCGGCATGTCGCAGCCCATGTAGATGACCATGCCCAGCCACATCTTCCAGTCTTTGACGGCCTGCCAGAAGAACGTCATCTTGAACTCCTCGTGGTTGGCAGAGGCCTGCTGATCCATCTTTAGACGGCGAATGACACGAGCCCGGTCGTCGTCGGAGAGGAACTTAGCCTCGTCGGGGAAGTCGTGGACCATCCAGAAGGAGGCGACGCCGAAGACCACGGTGAGGAGGCCTTCGAGGATGAAGATCCATGCCCAGCCCGGGCGGCCGCCGACGCCGGCCATTTGCTCGATGCCTGCTGCGAGGGCGCCACCGAACGAGCCAGAGATGGCTGCAGCTGAGAAAAAAATGGCCTGGCCACGTTAGCTTGGAGGGACGTCTAGTTGAGCTGAGAACTTACAGCGCGAATGCCAAATTCTGATCTCTTGTACCAGCATGATAGGTAGTAGTTGACGCCCGGGAAAAGCCCAGCCTCGGTAAGGCCCAAGAACCAGCGCGCGGCCATCAACCCACTCCAGTTGTGTACGAACCCCATGCCCGTCATTGATGCCCCCCAGAGAATCCTGTACTCGGTCAGCACACCGTGCCAGATAAAGACTGAAACCAGCTTGTCCTTTACTCACATGATGATGGGAATGAAGATTGACGGTCGCAATTTCTTGAGCAGAATGTTCGTCAAGGGCTCGAACACCGCATACGAGACGAAGAAGATTGTGAGCGACGAGTTGTACATAGAACTCGTGAGGCCCAGATCTTTGTTCAAACCGGCGATTTTCGCATTTCCAATGTTGGTTCTGTCAAGGAAAGCTAAGAGGTAAAGGATGCATAGCTACGTCGGCGTCAGTTAAGTGCACCAGGACATGAGCATGCATGACACGTACCCATGGAATCAGGATCCAGTCAAGCCTCCTGACTAACTTTCGTTCCTGCAACGCGCAGGTTAGTTTACTGGTCGTTTGATTGGATAGAAAGGCCATGACATACGACTTCAAGCCTCTCTTCTTCACTGAGATGCGCGTCAGGGTCACGCGGAACATCCTGCGTGCCTTGGTCTGATGTATGGGAGGCCGCAGCCTTCTCCGTGTCGCTCATCGTGGTGGGGTGTACCTGGAGCTGATCTCAAAGTTTTGATTCGGCTGACATCAAAGCGGGGGGTCTGGAGAGAGAAAGAGAGAAGTCTCGCAGTAGAAGCTCAAGTTTTTCGAATAGACGTAGTGAGACGTGGGGGAGAAGGCTGAGTAAATGCTGGCTCGGGTGGCGGACGAATGAGTTTGAGGTGGTAACCAAGATGCTTGACGGAAGCCAAACCAGATCGGCGGGAGGCCTGGTCAAATATAAACTAGGGAGACGTGCCCGCGAGCATGGGAGGTGGGGAACGTAAGAGCAACCCTCCCCCATCACCGGCAGACGACCTTCGGGATACACTCGGCAATGGAATCTGCTCTGTGACTGGTAGCCAAACCGCTGCAGCGGAACAAGTGGCTTATCGTTAGTAGCCATTGGGGACTCCACGTTTGGCGTGGAACAGAAGACTCGGTCAAGGGATGTTGATGCGCCGCTTTCGAGCGGCGTGATGAATTTAACAGAATACGATGCTAGGGTGTTCAGTACCGATTAGACCGCGTGGTTATCCTGCAGGACCAAGACCAGGAACGCGGGCGGCGACGTCAATAATAAAGGGATGAGTTTCGGTAGCAGTATCTGCTTCTCGAAGGATGCGAGGGAAGCCAAGGGGAAGACATCGGAGACGCGCGCGCATCGGCTGATTTCTCTGACATGTCTTAGCCTTGCGAACTCCAGTCCATGACCACGAACAGGTATTTACCATGGACCGGAATCCCGAGACTCATGGTGGCTTGCGAGGTAGTCTAGAATCGTTGGGTTCACAGCATATTCTGACTCCATGCTTGAGGAAGTCACAGGTAGACGGGAGAGAGGGCGCGTCTCACCAGCATCGAATGCTTCTCCCGACAAGGTGAGAGCTTGCCAGTGGAGCAAGTTGACAACATGGTATGAGCCGGGGGCTCCATCCGAGACTCCATTTGCCCGTGGGGAGAGTCTGGGGAGGGGGTTCTACCCGTCGACGACTAAGAAGAGAGGGGGAATCTAACGGTCATCGGTCCGCGTGGGAAAGCAAAGACTACCTAGTAGCTTATCTCCGGCGTGACCCCGCGGTTGCAAGCTCAGTCACTCGACCACAACAAGCATTGATCTGCGTCTTGGGCGCTCTAGCATTGGAGCGGGCTGATGCCGGGCAAGCTTGATTTGACGGCCGACACTTCGACGGAAAAAAAGTACCGCTGGATCTGCAGTAAGCTCGGTCAATAGCAACTGGTTGAAGGTCCCCGAAGATGATGCCAGCCACTCCGCCCTTCCTGCTAGTCTTAGTGGGACGGGGAACGGGCTGGGTCGTTGTGCACGTATTTGAAATACACCCACGTGAGGACAAGGGTGACGCCGTTGCTCGAAATCTGTGCAGTAGTCGCACGAACACCGCAGAGTGGCACAGGAAACACCGTATGGCGAAGTTGGATGGCCGGCCAATTATGCAGCCTGCTCGGCTGGGCTGGTCTTGCTGTGCGACTGAGATATACTGCAGACTGCCGCCCCGCAGATAAGTCTTTGATAATTAGAATAGGCAGGTCCATGACTACAATGGACTGACGTGCGACCACGGGCATGATTCAAACATGTTGCTGCTTCGAAAAACGACGTTGCTTTGGGGTTCGTCAACAGATGGACCCATAGATGCTGGCCGCAGTTGCGCCGTTGAACATCCCCGGGATGGTAGGTCTTGTCCCGGCTTGGCATGCTGCAATACTTTGGTTCCCGGCAGAGGATGCTGGTAAGCATGATGGACCGTTGGGCGGATCGAGGATTAGTCGGTGCTGAATATTCATCCGAAGGTGAGTGGACAGAGGCTAGGTATTTGGTGCCATCTGAAGCTCTGAATAAACGCAGGTAGGCCCACTGACTGCACGAAGCCGAAGAGATATCCATGTCGGTGCGGCGTCTGGTCCCGAACCGGCCGTAACGGGTCCCGACGCCCTGGCTTGGCAATCCGCGCCCGGGGCCAGGCTGGCGGTAAGGAGGGCCCGTAGCTCGGGACATGGCTGAGAGCCGTCAATAATTCTCTGTCGCAAGCCGACTGGCCGTCGTTGGGCCGCTCCAACCATCAGCCGTCTCAAGGAGTCTCTGCTTTCATGTTCCAAGCTATCGGGGCGGGAGCTTGCCTCAGAGCCCATTGGCTGAATGGTTCTCTTCAGACTTCGGGAGCTTGCCGATAGCTGGACTTCCACGCCCGATGTCCTGGACTCGCTTGACGAGTGACATTGGTCGAATCCAATCTGCCTGGATCGAGACATGAAGGCTTCCAGCACGGCTGGCATTCAGGCGGTGCTGGAGCTGACGATGCATGCCCACACGATGTTGCTTGTCAACTGCGGACGTTTCGTGCCTCAACTGTATTGCATAGATGGCGAACGTGTTGCAGCGTTATGTGTCCATTGAAGCAGCCGATCCTCTTCGTGAAATATTAGTGTGCAACCAAGAGGAATGCCCAAACCGCAAGCTGTAGATGATGCAGTGGCAGAGGATGGAGGAACAGAGTTGAGAGATGCTGACGACGGAGGCGTGGGAAGACAGTGGAACGGACGGGAGTTGCCAGCCGGCAAAATGTCACGCCGGCTGGCACTCAACAGGACCAACCCAGCTGAGTCATCGCGGATAGCGCCGGCGTCAATCGGCGACAAGCCCCACCGATGCCGCTAATCCCCGACCGCGACAATGGCGCTTTCGGCGGTGGCTTCTGACGTGAGAACTTCATCTCTCAGGCGATGAGAGGTTGCAGTGCTCAGCTCCACATGTTCTCTTCTTCCAGGAAGGCTATATACGATACCCTTCCCCCAATTCATCCTGAAGTTCTCTGAGTGAGGGGCAATTCACTCTCAAACACCCCACCATCCCCTGCGTTGAGACCCATCACCATGGCCAAACGTGTATGCATCGTCGGTAAGGACCACCTTCTCTCTAATGTCTGAGTCTTTAATAACACCATAGTCTCAAGGCGCCGGACCCTCCGGCCTCGTCGCCGCAAAGACTTTCCTCCACAACGCACCAAAGGGCGCCTTTGACGTGACAATCTTCGACGCCCAACGACGCATCGGCGGCCTGTGGCCCACGCGCCGCGACGATGTTGACGGCCTCGTCCACCCTCTCATGCTCGCAAACCAGAGCAAACACACTGTGCAGTTCAGCGATCTCGCCTGGGCCCCTGAGGATCCCGACTTCCCGCGCGCCTGGATGGTCGGCCGCTACCTGGAACGCTACATCGAGCGCTACCTCAAAGGCACTGATGCTGCCGCTGCAGCAACCTTGAAGCTTGGCCATCGCGTCGTCGATACAGAGCTCTCCTCCAAAGATGGCTCATGGACTGTCACAGTCGAGAGCGAGGCCGGCGGGAGAGAGACGAGCGTGTTCGATTACCTGCTTGTGTCCTCTGGCTTCTTTGGCAAGCCCATTGTGCCAGACGTCGTCTCTGGCGGTGCCGGTACGGAGATCCCCGTGGTGCACAGCAGCAAGTACCGCGATCTTCAGACCTTGTTCCCCGATGGCGTGAAGAACGGCGGCAAGATTCTGGTCGTAGGAGGACAGATGTCTGGCGTCGAGATCGCGGGGACCATCGCCACGCACATATCCTGCGCCGTCAACGCACCGGACCCGAGCCCCGTGCCGAACGCGGAGAAGCTCACGGTCGAGCATCTCACTCAGCGTCCAACGTGGGTATTTCCCCTCCACACCACGCCAAAGGTATGCTCCATCTTCCAGACATGGAGAGACTCGACTTGCTAAGACAAATCTCAAGCCCGGCGCGAAAGCAGCCCCCTTCCTACCCCTAGACTTCCCATCCTACAACCTCAGCAACCGCCCACACCCCCTGGAGAACAGCCAAGGCCACATCACCCCCGACGCCGCACGCTTAACCCACGGCATTTACACAACCTCCCTAGGCCAAGACCAATCCGGCTTCTCCCCCTCCGTCGCCGTAACGTCCAAACACCACTCGGACCCAGCTTACCTCGCTGTCTCGGAGAACTACATGGAATTCGTCCGCGCCGGCCTCATCAACATCACAACCGGCAAACTCGACTCCGTCACCGGCACAACCGCAAAGATCACGAACCCTTCCTCCTCCTCCTCCGCCGCCGCCACTTCAGAAATCGAGAACGTCGCAGCCGTCATCCTCGCAACGGGCTTCGATCCCTCCCCCTGCCTCTCCTTCCTCCCCTCCTCCGTTCTCACAACCCTAAATCACTCCCCCTCTCACCCCTCTCTCCCCCTCGCCCTCGCCTTCCACGGAACCCACGTCAAAGACCTCCCGACCCTAGGCTTCGTAGGCTTCTACCGGTCCCCCTACTGGGGCGTGATGGAAATGCAAGCCCGCTTCCTCTCCGCCCTCTGGGCGTCATCCCCTTCCACACGCCCGCCGGCCCTCACCGAAGCACTCCTAGACGACGCCTCAGACTGGCGCACCGTCTCCCTCCGCGACGACCCCCGCGCCTCCCAGTTCCCAATGGGCGACTACGCCTACCTAATGCAACAATTCTCCCTCGCCCTCTCCATACCAATCTCCCCGCCCGCGGCACCCCTAACCCCGGCCCTCCCTCACAACAACAAACCAATGGACATACTCACCCCAGCCCGCTACCTCTCCCCGCTCGCCTCCGAATCCGCCAAATCCGAGGCCGAGAACTCTCTAGCACAAACAAACGCCGCAGCAATCGCAGGCCTGACAACATCCCGCTTCGTGCCCCGCGCCGTCTTCCGCAGCTTACTAGGAACATGGAAGCTCGACCGCGATCTCACGAGCAGATTACCGAGCCACCCAAGCGGCCACTTCAGCGGGACAGCACAATTCCTCCTCCGCAACAAGACCGCCGACGGCCTGAAATGCGCCTCCGGACCCGCCTCCGCGGATGAAACCCCAGACGCCAACGACGACGGCGCCCTGGCGACAGAATACCTCTACATCGAAGACGGCGAATTCCGCGCCTCAAACGGCCTCGTCTTCCGCGCGACCCGCCGCTACGTCTGGCGCTACGACGAAAAGAAAGACATAATCAGCGTCTGGTTCGCAAAAGTCAACGAGCCGAAGCGGGCAGATTACCTCTTCCACGAGATCGAGTTCGAAGGACCGCCGCAAGATGATCAGAAGAATCCCTGGCAGGCAAAGGCTGGGCACCTCTGCATTGACGATTATTATGACGTAAAGTACGACTTCGCCTTCAAGGCTGTCAACCTCGAGGAGTGGAATATCAAGTATACTGTCAACGGGCCACAGAAAGATTACACGATACATGGCATCTATAGACGCTAGAAAGATCAATGAATAGAAGACGAATGAAGCGAAATCTTACATCTCAGGCTTTGAGAATCTAATCATTTCTATAAGTAATGCTTTTCTATTTCCTGTAATCGTGCATCATTCGCTATCGGCCAGTATTGCTAGAAACCAGCAAAGCCCAGTGTGCAGTTCCGCTATTGCACAACTCCAAAGATGACATTTTCCATCCTCGCCACTGAAGATGCATCAGTATCACCCACAAGGATGCAAGCGTTTGTCCTGTGCCGCCTAATGGTTCATCGTCAGCGACCAATCCTAGCCCGCCTACAACATTGTCAAATCCCCATCGCCGTCCACCTTTCGCATGCTTCCGTCACCCAAGATCGCATGCCTTCGCACGAGCCTGGTATTCCCAGTGTTCAATGCCCAGCAACGAGCCAAACCCTCTCTTCCGAATGCCCAGATCATCATATTGGGGCCTGATCCCATCGAAAGGTCGACGATGCCGGAGCAAACGGCAACGACTTGACCATAGACATCAACTGGATACTTTGGCCTTGGGTTCCGCTTGTCCTTGCTGCTCAAACCGCCGTTCTTGGCTTTGAGAAATTGTTGAACTGAATGCTGCAATGTCGGCCACCAATGAGCCCATTGATGTTCCCCTTGGCTGTCGACCAAACTCAGGAGGCTGTTAGTGCTTGAGAGATCTCGGAACATATCTGGTGGGATGGTGTAGAAAGCAAGAATCTGCTCCCCTGGTTGGAACCCTTCTCCTTCCGTCCACCGTGTCGTCGGGAAAACGGCAGCAATTCTCACACCATGTACCAAGTCCCTCCCAACGGCGTACATGAGTGGCGCACTTTCGCATGCTGCCGCTGGTGGACAAAACTTCACCTTGGTCACAATGCCGGCCCTCGACCATTTGGGATCATCGCAAACCAGGCTCAGGTACCTAGTCTTGGGGTCTGTAAGGAGGATGTGAGACCCGTCGCTCAAGGGCACGGCTCGATAGTTGTCGGCAGTGGATAATCTAGGCCTTGGGAGGACTCTTTCCGTCCTTGTCCACTGACATCGTTGGTTGGCAAAGGGACCGAGGGAGGCGGACAACTGCTGCTCCATGATGGTATAGACGTTCGAAGCGTCTTCCTCTAGTTCAGACGTCTCAAGTCGTGAGATGATAACCGGGACTTGGGGGGAAAAGTCGATTTCATTGAGGCCAAGACCACCCAATACGTCTTGCAGCGAGCCGGCGTGGCAGTCTGAGATTGACGCGGAGCTGATCAGGCGAAGTTTGCGTCTTGGGTCGTTTGCGTCACCCGGAGGAAGAAAATAGATGTAGTCGCTGGGTGTGGATAAGGCAAAGCGGCGGACATTTTGCTTTGCACTTCTGTTATGTATCTCGATTGCCGAAGAGCTACCAAAGGCGACGTAAGAACGATGAGGGCAAATGGCGACGGAGCGAGGAGGACAGTCGGCCGTGCCCACGTTGTAGTGGGTAGATTGTAGTTTTGCCTGCAAAGGCAGGGAGTGCGATACTTGCTGTGTCCCACAGTTACACATCTTGTTTTGGGTTGAGTACTTGATGGGCAATACGGGTAACCCTTGGATTTCGAAGACAAGGCCAAGACGGCCTCGGACGAGCACAGCAACATGGTTGCGTGCCCACGTCGTGTCCATGGCGCAGGCAAGTACAGGAGATCCGCAGGTAATGGTAGTGATAAGTCGAAGTTGACCCTTGCGACCCTTGCGATACTTCGAGAGCTCCTTCTAAGAAGACATGGACCATGGACGCGAGAAGCTCTCTTCGCACTGGTGATGCAGCTCATAGACCAGGATGGTGCATCCGTGGGTGACCATCAAGTATCGACCGCACATACTTGCGGTGTAGACAATGTTTCGTTTGTCGCTGGTAGATGTCGGAGAACCGCCGATGAAGTGCGTCTGGCCGATTTCGACAAAGGCAGGCTCGCTCCCGTTGTGACGCGGGCCGAGAGTGCATTCTCTCGCGAGCCATTTGGACATGACAGACGCTCGACTTGACACCGGCTTGTCCGCGTTGCTGGAAGCTTGAAAGCCGAGGATGCTATTGATGCTCGAAGCCCATCCGCCCCTCGACAACATGCAGTCAAGAATAGCCTCATTCATGCCGGCTACCAACCAGGAGCGGCAGGTGTGCCGTGAGGAATTGAAGTCGTATGGATCCAATAGCGAGTAGATATCAAGCAATATCTCGATTGGAAGCCTTTGAGAAGCTGGCAGCTGTTGCACCGCATGGTAGCCATGGCCATGGCTGTACAACAGCTGACGCTGGCCGGGCTGGGTCGTCATGACGGAGTCAAGCCACGGATCTGAGGACTCGAAAGTCGTCGAAGAAAGGATACCTAAAGAGAATGATGGAGTGGAGACCGGGATGAAAGTTCAGTGCGTGCCTCGGACGATGATAGAAATCCCTGGCAGTGTTGGTGATGCGAGTGGTGACGTGGGTGATGTCGATGCTGTGGGTTGTCAGATGAATTGAAGACGATGTTGTGGTCAAGAAATGGGTTCTCACAGGAACGGGGACTTGAGATCATGCAAGCTTGTGGGCAAGGCCAGACTTGTATGCACCCGATGCTTCTTGCCAGCAAATGACTGAGAAGTCATTGCAGTTCCCATCTTGTCAGCTGCAGTGAGAAGGTGAAGAGACAACGGCAGGTGAGTGCTAGGCGTGTAGGTTGGAGGAACGCAGAAAAGCAGTTGCCAACGACGTCAGAGTGCCAGAAAGAGCAATATCTCCTAATTCAAACGCCTGATTGCTCCTATCCAAAGCTGCCTTCATCAGAAAGACTCTGGACAAGACGAAAAGAGATAGCAGGCACGGCAAGACCGAGATGGAGGAAGAAGAAGCAAAGAACCGAGCCAACTAAACCTTCAAGTATGAGCCAGCCCTCGGAATTTTCAACAACTGGTCGGTTAGCTCAGTTGGTTAGAGCGTGGTACTAATATTTCACCTGAAATGTTGTGTAATGCCAAGGCCGGGAGTTCAAGCCTCCCACTGATCATTCTTTTGCTTTTTGCTGGAAATATTTCGATCAACGAGTAATCCATGTGTCGAAATTGCCATGGAGAGCATTTTTCTGGCGACTTTCTGATTCAATGATTATATTGTGGCGGCAGCTTTGTGCGCCTGTCCAACCTGCACTCACTTGCGTGCTGCTGACTCATTCACCAACTCAAGCCCGTCTGTGGAGAGGGTTCGCTCATGCAGTTGAAGAACCAGCCCGGTAAAATACCTAGAGTGAAGAGACCGATTCTTTGTATGATGGATTTTCCAAAACTCAAAGTGAAGATGAAATTGAATTTCTCAAGCTCGTATTATCTCGGGTCCTCAACCGTGAAGCTTGTGATGTCGATGAAAACGGTCAGATGTGAGTGAAGAATTACTGGGGCTCCCCTGAAAATCCAGGGCAGGGCGCCTGACAGCTCTTCTGACAGCACCCGACCCAGTGGGGTTTCAATTCTGCTTTCGGTTAGCGAGCTGCCCAGAGCTCCCGACCTGACAGAAAAGCATCCATCAATGGCGGGGTAGCTCTGGGCGCAGGCGAATGGCATTCACCACGCAGTCAAGCTTAAAAAAAGAGCAGCGGCTGCAGTTGGGGGTTCATCCACGTCATCCGACAGAGTTCAGCTGGAAGTTGATGTTGAGCGCCGGATTGGGCAACTGCAGAAAGATGCTGACGCAGGCTTTGACAACAGTACTGGCATGGAGGAGGAAAGAACGCGGACACTGCACTTGCTGCTCCCAATGCGGCACGAGGCAAGATGTACCTTTTGATAGGTACCTCCATAGGTAAGGTAAGGTAAGGTGAGGCAGGAGGGAGGAACGAGAATGAAGAAACGAGGAAGGAGGCATGGCCAATCTGCGGGCAGCCAAGAAGGAGCAGGAGGGAGCTGACGCGCGCCTTCTCTTGGCTTCGTTCCCGACCCTCCTCCTTCTTCTCCTCTGTCTCTACGCTCTCTCATCTTCATACAAAATCCCCTCAATTCCCACCACCAGTTTCAATCAACCTCTTGTTCTCTTCTGTACCCCTTTCGTAGATCATCCCCAGACGACAATACCTACTCAGCCAGCTACTGTCTCTCCACGGCATCAGTCTCTACCCCTCAATTGCGTCCAACCGCCACAATGAAGCTCGCCGTCTTCAGCGCCAAAGCGTACGACAAGAAATACATCAATGCCGCCCACGAAGTCAGGAAGGAAGAGTTCAAGAAGCACAACGAGAAGCTCGTCGACGACAACACTGACTTTGGCATCATTTACCACGACTTCTCCCTCTCCACCGAGACCGTCTCGCTCGTCAAAGATGTCGATGCCGTCTGCGTCTTCGTAAACGACTCCCTTACCGCCGACGTCGTTGAGGAGCTCCACAAGGCCGGCTGCAGAGCCATCCTCCTTCGCTGCGCAGGCTTCAACAATGTCGACCTTAAGACCGCCGAGAAGTTGGGCATCTTCGTTGCCAATGTCCCTTCCTACTCCCCCGAGGCGGTAGCCGAGTTCGCCGTCGCCCTGCTTCAATCCCTCAACCGACGCACCCACCGAGCTTACAACCGAACCCGAGAGGGCAACTTTAACCTCGATGGCCTTCTCGGCAAGACTGTACATGGCAAGACGGTGGGCATCATTGGCACCGGAAGGATTGGCGTTTCCATGGCCCGTATCATGAAGGGCTTCGGCTGCACACTGTACGCCTTTGACCCCTACGAGTCGGACGCCTTCAAGGAGCTCGGCGAGTACCTGCCTCTGGAGGAGCTTCTCCCCAAGTGCGACTTCATCAGCTTGCACTGCCCTCTCATGGAAAAGACGAAGCATATCATCAACGAAAAGACGCTGAAACAGATGAAGCCTGGCGCCATGCTCATCAACACATCTCGTGGTGGTCTCGTCGATACCAAATCTGTCGTCCACGCCCTCAAGACTAAGCATCTTGGCGGGCTGGCCCTGGATGTGTACGAAGGCGAGGGGGATCTCTTCTACAATGACCACTCTGGTCACATTATCGACGACGACTTGCTGACCCGTTTGATGACCTTCCCCAACGTCCTCATCTGCGGCCACCAGGGTTTCTTCACCGAAGAAGCGTTGCAGGAGATTTCCGAGTGCACATTCCGCAACCTCGAGGACTTTATGCTGGGACGCAAGTGCGACAACTCTCTGGTCAAGGAAGAGTTTGTGATGTCTCGCAGAGAGTCCCTTCCGGTGCGTATTGTCTGAGAGGTTATGGGAGGCCTGCAGTCGGCTGGTTGGTATGAAACAAAGACCTGTAGATTGGTGAATTCCCTTCTCTTCAACTCTTGAGCAAATAGATGGCTACAGATTACGACTTACGAATAGACGATTCCCTACATCCACTGCCGCATCGCTCCTCTCATGCAGATGAAAGTTTGTCGCAGAAAGGATTGATGTGTCCAAATTGTTGCATTATCCACATGTGCATGCACTGGAGCCCGACTGTTTTAATGTCAATTTTATTTAGGATTATGAACGGCGCCGGCCGTTGCTATTTATATGCGTCTATAGTCTAAATGCCTTTCGCTCCTGGATTCCACTATCCAACGCCAGCCTCCTCTTTACGCCGAATAAACAAAGATTACCATCGAATCCAGGGCCGATAGCCAAGGCGCCAAGAACAAGTCGCTGAGATACAGCAACTCTCTGAGTGTTTTGTTATGTATCGAGATGTATACATATCGAATATGCGAATCGCTTACGCGGGCTCAAAGGTGCGGGTAGGAGCCAGAGCATTCTTTGGCGGCTTGGCCTTCTCCTCATCGGATCCCGATGTCTCCTCGTCATCGCCAGAGTAGGCGTACTTGCTTCTAGCACGGATACGGGCTCCGTAGACCCAGAAGAGGAAGGGAATCGCACAGCACGCGAGGCCGAGGAAGGCCAGGAGGGAGGAGGCCCACTGGTCGCCAAGGCGGTCGTACATTTGCTCGGTGAAGAGGACGACGGCGGCACCCCAGAAGGAGCGGATGCAAGTCTTTGCGGCGAGGGCGGAGGCGGCCTGGTGCTGGTATGAGTCGACGAGGTAGTTGTTTGCCGAGTTGTACAAGAAGATGAAGCCAAAGCCGACGGGGAAGCCACCGAAGGCGGGGCCGGCCCAGTGGAGGTCTGCGTAGGAGGTCCAGGCGAAGATGAAGAGGCCGATGGGGATGAACCAGCAGCTGAGCATCATGGGGATGAGGCGGGCCTCGGCGGGTGGGTGGCCGTTGTGCTTCGCAACCAGGGTGAGGTAGTGCTTGTTCACCCAGGGGGAGCAGGCCGCAGAGAGAAGAACGCCGACGGCGAGGGGGATGAACATGAGACCCGTGGAGGAGGCGGAGTAGCCCTTGCGCTTCTGGTAGATGATGGGGAAGGCGACGAAGAACATGTACAGCAGGCCATAAAGGACGGACATGTAGATGGAGATGAGGAAGACGATGAGCTCGCCAAAGAGCAGCTGGAAGGGTCGGATCAGGAAGATTCCCAGGCGCTCGCTGAAGGGACGCATGTCAATGTCCTGCTCCGTTACGTGAGTCGCGTCGCCGGTCTCCTTGCGCATTTTGGCGGCGCGGCGGGCGAGGATCGTGGGTGCGTAGGTCTCGGGCACGGTGAAGGAGATGAGGACCCAGACGACGAAGGCCATGATGAGCTGGATCCAGTACAGCCAGCGCCAGCCTGCCGCGTCGGAGAGGAAGCCGCCTACAAGGGGACCGATGGCGGGGCCGATGAAGGGCGCGGCGGAGAAGGCTGCCATCGGGACGCCGCGCTCCTCGTTGCGCCAGAGGTCTGCAAGGGTGCCGCCCACCAAGGTCATGGGCGCGGAGAAGGCGATGCCGTCGATGGCGCGGCACACGAGTAAGGTAGCCAGGTTCTTGGCGACGGCGCAGGGGATGATGAAGATGACGGCGAGGAGGAGGGTGGATGCGTAAATCACCTGGCGGCCGTAGATTTCGGAAAGGGGCGCGAAGGCCATGGGACCGATGCCGAAGCCGATGACGAAGACGGTGATGGAGACGAGGGCGGCTTCCTCTGAGACGTGGAACTCTGCGGCGACGCCCTCGATGTCTGCCGTGATGACCGAGGAGCAGAAGGCGACGACGAAGCAGGTTAGGGCGACGACCATTGTGCAGTACCACTTGTATGCTTTGCTCCAGTTCTTTGGGTTCTGGGGGTCGTTGGGGACGAAGGTGACGAGCTTGTAGTCTCCCCGACCTGCTGGAGCCGAGGAGGCGTCGGTGACGGCGGGGATCTCGCCATTGTGGGTTTCTACGCGGTACTCGTCGAGGTTTGCGTTGGGGGAGAGGGTGCGGTAGGGGAGGTTGACGTCCAGCTCCGGGTCGATTTCCTCCTTTGTCTTTACGGGGTGGAGGACGTTTGAGGCGATGGAGGAGCGGCGGTTCGGGCGGGCGTTGCCTGATGGTGTGCGGGTGTGGGAGGATACCGGGGCGTATTGAGGTGCTGGTGCGGCGCCGTCTGAGTCTGAGGAGGAGCCTGGCGGCAGGGTGTGAGATGATGTTCGTGATGGTTGATCCATCTTTGCGGTTTGGTTGTGTTTGCTTTGGTTGTCTTCAGGGGATCTCGGGAGGGAAGTCTGAAGAGTAGAGGGCTAGGGGGTATGGCCCGGGATGAACACACGATAATGAAAGAGTAGTAGGGTATCCTCGGATGAAAGGGGGGGGCATCACCCTGACTTTATACTCGGCCTCATCTTGGGAAGAAGAACCACACACGAAGGGAACTGAGTCACTGTTGGTGTGAGATGGACAAGGTGCCTTGCATCAGGAAAGATACGCACGCCCCCCTCCCCTGCACTCCATTGAATGGGTAAACAACCTAAGAGTAAGGGAACCGGTCGCAATTCGGGCTATGGGTTGGGAATGGGATACTTCGGCGGCGGCATTCGGGGTGGCGCCCCACTTATCTGGATGGACGGAGACCCGCTTTTCCCGTCCGAATCGCCCAACCCGGTTTATCGTCGTGTTCCATTGTTCTCCCTCCCACCCCCTTGTTTTCTCTCAAAATTTGCAAGTAGAGTCGAGTC